GGAGAGAGAGGGCCGGAACAACAACGGGTGAGGGGATTCACCCTCCCGAGCCATAAGATCAAACGGGCTTGCTCGATGGGAGACCCGCGGAAGCATGATAGGGGGCACAGGCCTCTTTCACCTGTTTTTGGCCTCATACACTTGAATGCCCCCAAAGAGAAAAGCCCCAGGCCCTTGCCCCACCAGCAAGTCCCCGCCTCCCCTTTTTGTACTCAGCTCTCCATTATCCACATACCACTAGGTGAAGTGATGCATTTGAGAGGTCAATTTACTCTGGCAGGGGGGGTGGGCAGCCCTGAATCTCTATTCTTCCGTGTTCAAGCTTTAAAAGGGGAGGGGGTGTGTGACTGAGAACTTCTTGTGCGTATCAGCTTCGGCAGACCCTCCACTAGGGAGTAAATAAGACCCCAGGCTCTTAATCCGGACTCAAAGGAAGTAGAGCACTGATCATGTAATAAGCAATATGTTCCAAATTGATTGGGGGGGGTTCTTCTGCCAAAAGACCAATTTCCAAATACAAAGTGCTTTTAAAAAACAACAACGGTCCAAGGAGTCCTGCATCGTGCTAAAGAGAGAGAGAAACAAAGCAGCCACTGACAAGTTTGTCAGCGTCCTGATGTATTTTGTGTCACTTCATGCGTTAGGGATATACTTAAGATCAAGTGTTCCCCTTGGTCCAGCTAGTCAGGGCTCACAGATGGGACCGTGTTTCCTGGGCAACAGGGATGCAGCTCAGATTCACCAACACATCCCCATTAGGGAATCCTGGTGCATCCTGATTGATTAATATAATGAACACCTTCCCTTTGCGTTGTGGCTCAAGACAGTTTATTTATTGATTTGCTTCATTTCTACCCCGCCGTTCTCCCCAATGGGAACCCAAAAGCAGTTTACATCATTCTCCTCTGCTCCATTTTACCCTCACAACAAGAACCCATCTTACCCTCACAATACAAGAACTCATGGGCACTCAATGGAATGGCTGAGCAGTCGGGTTAGCACAGATAAAAGGAAGTACTTCTTCACCCAAAGAGTGATTAACACATGGAATTCACTG